CTTTCCAGTTTCTGAGGCAACACCAAGGTCTGCTTCTATTCTTGAAAATCCAGCTCTTGTCCTTTGAGTCCATTCATCATATCCCAGACTCTTCTTTGGCAGCCCATGTTTTCAGTGTGCCATTAAGCTTCTGCTTTGCCCTTTCTAGATGTTCTGGATCCACTGACTTGCTTTGCTCAGTATTTATTACAGTTAACAGAATGAAATAGAAGCTTCAACTTTATGACCTTGGCTTAAAACTTGTCCACCATTTTTTCTTCTAGTTTTTTTTGCATCTCCACCTAACTCTATATGAAATACAGCTGACCTTTTCTCATAACATGAAATTATAGAAACATATGGTTTCGCTGGTAAAAATGCATTATGTCTAAACATCTTCTCTTGTACCTGAACTATAAAATGGTCCTAAAGTGCCAGCAAGGGTTCTTGAATTTATAGAAAAATAGTTGTCCTGATTTCACACTGTACTACTTGGACTGAGTAGAGAATCTTCAATTGCAATGTATTAAACCACATAGAAACAAAGCTGTGCATGTCAGGCTTGCTAGCTGTCATGGCGTAGGCAGCAACAAATTACTCAGTGGTTAAAAGATTTGATGTTAAGGAACAGTAATGGAAGTGAAACATGCTTTTCATAATAAGTGTTTTGTAGCAAAAAAAAAAAAAAAAAAAAAGAAGAAGAAAGCATTTATTTTTGTCCATAAGCATCTTGACTTCAGTTCAAGAGAAACAGCATGACCAAAATGTTGTGGCAATTTCTCAGTCACTGGCTGTTTTGATTCTCAATGTGGCATAGCAATTTAGAGAAGAAACGTTGAGGAAAAGCAACTGCACAGTTTCAGGGGCTTAACCCAGCAAAGGGGCTGGGTTAAGTGTTTGGGTTTAGGGGTTTGGATTTTATTTCTACTTGGGATAAATGCAGACATATAAACAACATCAGGGTATAGGGTAGGGCAGGACAACTTAATGTTCTTTCAAACATAGCGCAAAACTGGTTGAAGCTGGTGGCCAGACTAGTTTCTTCAATATGTCATCATGAAACTTTTGATTTGTCTGTTCTGAAAAGAAAGATGACACATAGGTTGTTTTTTGTGAGTAAATGGGAATTGCACAAGGACTACTTTGTAATTTGCATCTGAATTCAACCACCACTACCTAAATAATGTAAAACATGGTAGAGGCTTTTGCAAAGAAGATCCTCAAGACTTTACTTGTCTCAGTGCTTACTGGAAGAAGAGTCTACATGCTCGAAAGCTTGTCGGCATTTCTAGTGTGGGTTTTCCTCTCTGTGTCTCCATATTTTTCATCTTTCAACTCACGGGCTGCCACAGGTCTGACAATATTACTGCACCCTCTGAAGGGGCAATTGTACTTCACCACTGGGTGGGTCAAGCCACTGATCAAACTACAGGTTTTCTGTTCAAAATACTGTGTATTTTAATGCACATTCCTATGACTGAAAAGAAAAAAATCATAATATAAACTTATTCAGTTGCCTCCATGGTTATTTTTTTAGAAGTACTTCAAGGGAGTTTGGTGTTAGCAGTTTTTGGTAAATCCCAAGTGCTGTAAATCCCAGCTTGTTCACAGGTACATCTATGATTTAAAAAAATGCTGTGATGTTTTATGCAGCTCTTCAAAATAGGAGAGAACCAAAGGGACATGATTTAAGATAAAGAGTGTGATTGAGCAGTAAGTACGCTTGAATATGTTCCTGTGGCTGTTAAAGAAGCTTAATGATTTGGGGGTTGCTTTATTTTAAGAATCCCTTTGGCTTGACTTTAGTATTCACAGCAGATGCAAAATTACCTAATTTGAAACTGATGTGTGCTACTCGGGGAAGACAGATCTGAGTTAGCTCCTCTGTTAGTTTCCAAATTCCATGAGATCTGATAGCTGGGATGTAGAAATCAGCTCTCCAGATTGCATTGAAACTGTGGTCTTTCTGCTGGGACTGACAACTGAGAAATGTTACATGCTCTAAGAAGTGAGCTGAGGCCATCAGTTCTTCCCATATGTCACTGAGCTGCTGCCAGAAGTTAATGACTTTTAGCCATTACTGTTCTGAGCTTGCTTTATAATGAGCAACTAGTGACAAGCTACCTATCTCATTAATCCTAGAGCTATGAAAAGTCTTTTTTAGTTTTCTCAGGATTATTCCATGCCTTCAGCAGAAGCATTTTACTGCTTCCAGAAGGCTGAAGGATGCTTGGGAAACAGACTGCTGGGAGTATGTTTGGTAAGCAGACTTCAGTTCTGTGTGGGTTGTTTTTTTAATGTTATACTATGCAACATAACTACAAGTGAGGAAACGTTAGCTTCAGCCAGTGGTTTGGATGAGTAATTACTTATGTTTTCAGTTCTTACCTTTAGACAGGAAACTAAAATGATTTAAAAGTAAAGTTAAAAACAAAGGGGTGGTATGCAGTAGTACACTTCAATGAGGAACTGGAAAGTGAATCCTCGAGGAAGTCTATCTTTCTCCTACCTGACCCCTCAAGTGCAAGGACAGCATGACCTGAACTCAGCCTGCCTGATGCAAAATGGCAGATGTACCTTCTTAGTAGTCCAGTCTTTTGGCAATGAGTAGTGGTACTCCTGGCATCATCTTGGACAGACAGTAGAAGGGTGTACTTTCATGTCACAGATATGCCTCAACAGGCATCAGACTTGCAAACCTACAAGTCATAGGAAAGTATGTAACAGGGTACAGAAAGTCATCCATAGTGAAACCAAAACCCAAACTGCTTCTTGCAATTGGAGCTAGCTAATTTCCAGCTGTGTTTTTAGAGCCACTCTTACTCCTTTTCCACCCTATTTTTCTTTCATTTTGAATGTAATATGAGTGACTTCCTTCCTGTGAGGGAAATACTGATCCAAGCTGCTTGTTTGCTCTGAGAAGCTGTCCCAGAGGTCCATTTCCACCTTAGGCTGTGGCATAACAGGGGGAGACAATCTAGGGGACTGCACCCTTTTGCATCAGTTGATCTATGCTAGTAGACCAGATTTCTTCTATGTATTCCTACTCTATTAGAGAGTCTAGTGTGAGTTTGGCCTCAAATGGATGATCAGTGGGAACGCTTCAGGGCAACAGTCTCTATATAAGTCCATGGTGTCATTTAATCAACACACTTGCATACTGTGCGGTTGCAAAGGAGGCAGAGAAATTATACAAACTGTGCCAGTGTGAATCACCAGCAACAGAAACCCATAGACTCTATCAATTATAAGACTTTACTTGCCCCTCCTGTGTTCTGCTGATCTTTCTTTTTTTTTTTAATTGCTTTTTCCTCCAACTAATTGATATTGCTTTTAAACACAATGTTAGTAGCTGAACTTCACTTTTCCAAGCCCAACTCTTTTAGCTCACATTTGACTTCTGTAATAAGTGGGTCAAAGCGCAGTTCACTGGAGACAAGTTAGTTTCTTACATCTGTTATTAATAGCTGATATTGCTGAACATTTTAGACAAGCTCTCTTTCTCCTACATGCTCTCTCTCATGTGCTTGCTTTCTTGCTCTCACTTGCCCTCACTGTTGCTCTTCCTATCACTCGCCTGCACTCATTCACGCCCTTGCTCTCCCTCATGCTCTTTCTCACTTGCTCTTGCTCACTCTTTATTCTTGTTCTCCCCCTTTCGTGCTGCCTCATTCACCCTCACCCTTTATCATGCCCTCTTGCACACCACCTTGTACACACTCTCTCTTTCTCTCCATTTCCCTGTTATGCTGTCAAAGCCAGACTCCTGAATTCCAGCTGCCTAGAAAATCCTTTAAAATATCTTCTCAATTTATAAGCTTTAAGAGATGCATAGTCATACTAACTCTGTTGGCCTGTCTCTTGTTGCCTCAATTACCTTGTACATATTGTTACTGCAAAATGTTTTTTTGAAAAGTGAGACTTTTTAAATGGATTGTAGACTGACTCATATTTTACAATATAAACACCTACATTTTATTCTGTAATTACAGTCCTGGAACACTTTCTGTTTCTTCTTACTTCTGTGAACTAAAGCTCGGTGTGGACTGTGCATATGGCTCTTGGCTTTAAGTAGCAGTAGTTAACTTTTCATCTGTTTCAGCTCTCTGACATCCATATAATTGCAGATTGACTTTTTGAAAGTTTGGTGAGGTTTTTAAGTTCTGAAATTTATTTTCCTTATTTCTTGCAAGAAAAACAAATGTGAATTTATCTGTTGATTCATACTTTCTTCCCCACCTTCTTTTTACCACTCCAGTAAACAAAATGAAAGACCAAAGGCTGAAGGTTTCTCCATTTTGTCAGAAATCCCTTCCCTTCAAAACCAAGCTATTTTTATTTATTAAAATAGTCCTACTGGTGTGTTTGGTTCAATTCACTTCATAAAGTAGGTAGTATCTAATTTAATTTGTTTCAGAGAGTACATTTTTAGATGTGAAACTGTATTCTCATAAACAGGATTCAAGTGACTTCTCACATGTCTTTGTTGTTGAGAGAATACTCAGGACACACAGAGTCAGATCCCACACAGTAAAACACATGAACTTGAAGTGTCACATGATGATAAACCACTTGTATTAATATATATCCATGATTACTTTTCTACCTGTGATTGTTCATTTAGTATGTACAGATTTTGTATGCAAGTGGCACACAAAGAAATGAGAAAGTTAAAAAAGGACTTGCAAAATATAAAGAGAAAATTTAGTTGAGGTTAAAAATGTAGTCAACCCCATGTCATTAAATTAATCTTAAATATTAATTTACAAATGTCACTATTGTAAGTTTATGCTTGAAGGTCACAAATTCTAATCCTTGTTTAAAATCTGGCTATACTCTATGAATGTGCTTAATTCTAAATTCTTAGGAGTAAAGCTTTGGGCTGATTTTCACGGACTGGGGCTGGATCATTAACAGTAATAAAGGCTGTGTCTTTTGCAATTAATATTGGAAAATACTTTTTTTGTGATGGGCAAGCAAACAAGCTAAACTCGTTGCGTCAATTTTTTTTTTTCCCACAGAGCAAGTAGGCTAAAGGGATTTTATATTTTGCAGGTGAGTACATACTACTTAGCTTTGAGATTATCACAAGCTGAAAATGCCCCAGTGTTCTGCTTTGCTTGTCGAATTCCTGAGCACACAGATTTTTTTTCTACTGGAGAGTTCAGGAGCACAGGATATGTGCTCCAGCAGGATGCACTGGCTCACAGTGAGAAATAAATAGGACGAGGCATTCTGAATATGACTGACTAGAGACAGATTGGGACCCTTTCTAAATCCATGTATGCACTTGCATACAAGGGCAAATAACTTTCTTGCCTTGCAAGTGTTGTCTTCAGAATATGTCTACTGAGACTGAGGTTTGCCCAAACATGTTTGAGAAAACCATTTTGACCATCCTTACTGAATAAATGGGGCTATTAACATAAAAGGGATTCAATAATTACATGCTCTAGCACTTTATATACAATTACCTTCCAGTGACACTTGCCTTTTAGCCCAGGAATGCGTGACAGATGTTAGCAGAGTTGGTTTTATGGATTTTTTTAATACCTTGGAAAAAAATTGTTTCATTACATTTCTGGTGCCTGTGCACAGGTTTAAAAGAAGAACAAGAAAATGGGATATGTTTTTTGGGAGGGAGAATGGGTAGTATTACAATTGGCCTTTGAGTTAATTTTTTTTTTTCTGAATTATGACAGTTGGATATTATCAGTATATTGTCTGTTAACCAATATTGTAACACTCTCAGCAACAATTCATGTAATGGAATTATTTTACTGAGCTCTAACTTTTAGTTGTCAGAAGGATTTTAAGCTGCTGCTTTGTTGTGGGGTTTTTTTCTCTCCTTTTTTTTTCTTCTTTTTTCTTTCCTGTTTTTTTTTTATCAAATGAATCATTGCAGTCTTTTGCTACTGTTTTTGTGTTTACACAAATGGGTACCTTAAAAATGTTACAAACATAAAAGCTAAATTGTTTTGACATCAGATGTTCCAGGGTAGATTTTTGACAAAAATGGAGTGTAGACTGTTTTGCCAGCCCTAAAGGGATAATGTAATGAGTGCATTAGTGTCTGGTATAGTTTCTTCATTATTGCAAGCAAGCAGATTTTTCTTTTTAAATTGCTTAATTGAAGCCAAGGTAAATTTTCCCAACCAGTAAATCAGTCTAGCATGCATTTTCCTTCTTCAGGAAAGAAATGAAGTCCTCTGTTTTCTCATGTGATCAACTGTTTTACTGGGTTTTTTTAAACAAAAAAAATACAGACCAAAACAAAAAAACCCTTTGGCCAAATGAAGAGGACTTTCCTACTTTTATCTGAGGAAAAGACAAAATAATATTTGAGCATAATTTTAAATATCACTCTGGTGTAGGGATCAGTCAAGCTGTTTCTTTACCTTTTCTATCAAAAATGTCTGTGGAACTCTCTTGTTCTTAGGGAGCAGGAGATCATAAATAACCACATTTCTCCCAGAGTCTGACAACTGCCTGTTTTTCATCCCCAGCTGACTTTGCTGATCCTGAAGAAACTCCATAGTATACAACAATAGTCTAGCACAGTAATGAGTCTGCTTCCTAAACAAACCAGCCCTGTGGATGTCTGCTTGCCTTTTATTTTCAGCATAATCTTTATTCTAAGCAAATGTAGAATTCACCTGTAATAATGCGGTGTGTATTTAAGATACTACAAATATCAGTGAACAACCTTTAATAGGACATAACAGTTGTCAGGATGTGTTGGTAAAGATTTCCCAGAAGAGACTATATTTCAGCTAGAAAAGGGCAAACCTGCCAACTTATTTTGAGATTAGAAGCACAATCAGTGGGCATGTTCCACCAACTGCACAAAGAGATATTGAAGATAATACTTCATCTTCAGATGAAGCATTGCCCTTTCTCCAAAATAATATCTAATTATTAATGCTTGCCCAAGAATAGCTGTGCTGCTTCATGCATCTCACCTTTTTAAATACCTGCACTTTTAGACTTGGTCTTTAGGATTTGGAACATCTAGCATAACCTTTAGAGTTTAATTTTTGGTATAAATTAGGTAAAGAAAAATCATCTATTAACCATTAACAATAGAGCTAGCAGGTCACCCTTGACAGTGACTAATAATCTTCAAAGAGAACTCCATGATGAAAAAACAATTGCTGAGACACTGATGACAGCCTATCAGAAAGTTATTAGCACACATCACATTATCACAGCAAAAATAGCAAAATACTTTCTTTGTTCAGAGAGTAAAGGATTTTAGAAGATAGGGAAGATGCATTCACAAAGTTTGGCTTTCTCACTGTATATGGGGAGTATGGATGAAATGGTTACATGCATCAAAAGAGAGAAGGGACACGTGGACCCATCATAAACGAATTTTAGGAGAACTCTGTCTTCAGTTGGTACTGACACTTTCTACTGGTTACTTTAGTTGTGCATGGGACTTGGATGAGCAAGGCACTGAAATTTACAACAATTATACAAAACAAGAGAAGAACACGCCTCATTACTATGTTTCTGCAGAACTGTATGCCTCAGCAAATGTGAGTAGTTGGTGCTTTTAAACATGTGAAGACATACCTCTTCCTCTGTAAGACCAATGGTCAGAAAGACCTGGGTTCTTGGAGCTTGTATCCACATATTTTGCTTATGGGAATTCTGTTATTCCTGCTCTTAAGTAGGTGCAGGAGTCCTGTGATTGCTTTGTCTTATCAGAATTGTCATGAGGTATTCAGGTGTTTCTAAGCATTACATAGGTGCTGTGTTTCTAAAAATTAAATGACTTGGCAAACCTTGAAGATTAGTAAATGGATAAACTCAAACTAAACGTGTTTGGATTCAGTGTCTCCATCCTATCTTTGCTAGTACTGTAAAATTTTACCTCTTTCTATTTAGTGTTTCAAAAACATACACACTGAAAGTTATTTAATTAAATTAATCTGCTTCTGAGTTAAGCTACAGATGTGCAAGGCTCCAGAGGTTAGCTTAAGGCTGAGATTCACTGCAACTTCAAACAGGAGCTCTCTGTTTTGTATAGGAGAAGAAAAAATGAGGCTTTTTTCATTTCCTGTTAAAGGTCATGTTGTTTTTCAGAAAATGTGCTCGGTATTTCTCCTTTAGTCATGTTAGCATATTAGCCTTTGAGGGAAGAAACACAATGAGTTTCCTTCAATTGCATAATTGCTCTTGATCCCTATTCAGTGTGATTTGCCACTTCCTACAGAACTGAGGAGCAAAACTGACAAGATTACTATGACCAGTCATCTTGTTTTGGCACAGCCAATGCCTAAGTCTTCATGTTACAGTCTGTAAAGATTAGTTACTTGATACTGCTAGAAACAGAATTTAACAGAACCTGATTTTTATGGAGCTCCTGAGCCCCAAAAAGTGTCCAAGAGTAGACAAACTAATGAAGTATGCATTAGACAAGTGGACAGGGAGATGGACTGCAAAGTAGCTGGCCTGCTGGCCTCAGAAGGTTGTGATAGTGGCATGAAGTCTAGCTGGAGGCCAGTCACCAGTTGCATACCCCAGGGTCTGCGCTGGGGCCGATACTGTTATCCCTGACCTGGACAACAGGGCAGAGTGCGCTCTGAGCAAGTTTGAAGAAAATGTAAAGCTGTGAGGAGTGTTTGGCACACCAGATGTCTGTGTTGCCCTTCAAAGGCATCTTGACAGGCTGGATAAACAGACCAACAAGAATCTCATGAAGTTCGACAAAGACACAGGCAGGATCCTGCATCTGGTGAAGGATAACTCCCTGTGCTAGTACAGACCAGGGGCTCACTGTCTGAGAAACAGCTTTGCAGAACAGGCACTGGGGGTCCTGTTGGACCAAAAAAATTGAGCATGAGCCCCTGGGGCAAAGAAAGCTGTATTAGGAAGAACATTGCCAGGAGTTCAAGAGAGGTTACCCCTGTACTCTACTCATTCCTGGTGAGAGCATATCTAGAGCGCTGTGTCTGGATCTGTCCTCTCCAGTACAAGAGGAGACATGGACATAATGGAGCAAAGATCACAAAGAGGATTCAGGGAGTGTATACATGGCAGCACAAGGGGAGGCTGAGAGAGCTGGGATTGTTTAGCCTTGAAGAGAAGGCTCAGCTGCTGCAGGGAGAGTTTGCTACATTTGGTACACTGTAACAGGCTACCTGGAGAGGCTGTGGAGTCTCCACCCTATGAGATATCCAAAACTCAACTGAGCATGATTCTGTACAACCTGCTTGAGTGGAGGGGTTTGGACTAGGCAATCACCGGTTTCTGAGTTAAACTGTGATTCTGTAACTTGGTACAATCCATGAATCCCTGGTACAGTGCCAGATGGAAACCATCACAACCTCTTCATGAGGCCAGTGGTTATTTAGCCTGAAATAAAGGTAGACACATTCCGCTTTTGACTAGACTGATCCACACAAATAGGAATAGAACTGCGTTTTTATTGTACCAGACCTGTTTTCTAGCTGCTTCCACAATATTGACCCGCTTAAATGGAGATAGAAATTAAGTTTCAAGCGCTGAACATATCCAATTAATAGAGATTGCTGAGTAACTCTTTTGCAAAGCTCCTAATCTGCAAACACTTTTCTAATCGATAACTACTTCTGTTCAATATAACCCCAAGGTGACTGTATTCTGTCAGCCGAGAGTGAGACATGGAGCTCTTGAAAACCTGGAAAGATTCATGTCTTCAGGAAAGATTTTCATTTTTTTTCATTACACCCTAGAGTAGCATGAAAATTAGCATTCCTCATTCTCCTCACTTATTGGTATGCTCATCTCTTAGCTGCACAAGGTTTCCAATAGATTCTTTTTCTACCGGTCATGCTGTGATTTAAGGGTCATTCCCTGATGGGACATCTGTTGGTGGGTAAATGCTTGCATACCTTCCCCAAATTCTTTGTGTGTTCTACTTCAGTCATTAACTAAGTCCAAGCCAAGAAGTGACATGTTTAGAGAATTTCCAACAGTGCTGTGAGTGAATTGAGATATATTGGCCAGATTCGACCATTATGTTACATTACATTACAATGTATTCTTGCTGTAGTATGTTTTAATCCGCATTTCATGATAAGGAAAGCCTCTTTGAACTTACCTGCAATGCGTAGTGGTCCGATTAATGAATATTCATACAGAGAAAATGGTGTCTGTTGTGATGGACATCAGAAGAACAGTAATTGGTTTCGGGATTGATGGATGTTTATGCTGTAGTTTACCCAAGACAGCGCATGCTGGAAGCATTAGCATCCTGTTTCCCTTGTCAAAGCTCAAAATGAGTGCAAACAATTTTTATTTTTTTTCTGTGCAAGTTGAGTAAGTGGCAGTTTTTAATTTTACGCCATTTTTTCTGTCAAGTCTCTCTCTAGGTGGCAGAAAATTGTTGCACGTGGTAAATCTCTTACTTAGCGCTATTGTCAGGGGAAAAGAGTTGCTGGTTCAGATGATGCTCCTGAGTAGCACGGAATTTCTTTTGTTTGACTTCAGAGCTGCATCAGAAGTAGCTGGTTCTCCTCTATGACCCTGAATCAGAGAAACATACGTGTGCTCAATACCTGTCACTCAGCCAGCAGGAACAATAAAGCTCGTTCAGCATATTGTTCCAAAGGGACCCACAGTCACATCAGGTCCCGTGAAATCTCTGTGCCCATAAGATGCAGGCAGATAATCAAACAGAGGAGGAACACCAAGAAAATGGCCAAATTCACAGATCCTTGGGTGGGGAAAAAAAATGAATAAATTTCAGGCTTCCAAGCAGTTCCTTTATTGCATCTTTCTTTTACTGAAAGGAGGTACCTGTTCAAATGGTATTGAAAGAAATAAACATTCAAATGACAACAATGTGCTACAACCTGCAAGCCAGAGATATCTGTTACAGGAATGCAGTGCAGTTTCACGTTGCAAGACATGATGAATTTTTGCATTCCACAACTGAAATGCTGTATATGAAACTTGTTTATTTGCAACTTGTTTTTCCCCAAATGTATCAGTACTTCAAGGGCACATGCTAAAAAAGCAGATGGATTTACAGATGGAACAAGGCTGTTATGGATTTCATATCATATTTTTGTTGCTTGAGAGAAAGTAGGAAAAATTGCCTGATATGTAAAATTGATGATTAATATCTAAGTACTTACATGTGACAATCATTGGGAAAACAACTTCATTTTTCTGCAGGGATTCCACAGAGAAAATGGAATACACAGAAAATTTTCTGTTCATTCATCCACATAGCAGTGGAAAAGGCTGAAGGTAGACTGCACAAGTCTATCCTTCAGTCAGCTTACTCTAAAATGTAGTGGGATCACATTGTAAACCAATTTTATCCCATTGATCAGGTGGAGCTTGAGAGATGGATGGATTTTTCTTGATCATTAGAGTAGCAGTCCTTTGTATCTGGCACTTACTCAAGGGTAAGTAGTGCCCCGTGCCTTGTGAACATCATTTCATCAGTTCTTGCAGGGCAGCAAAGCTATATTACAAGATGCTGTTTCTGATGGGACAGAAAAAAAAGGTCAACAAAAGCATGTTTTGCAATTTTACATGAAGCACAGCCTTTCTGAATCAGTTTACTTCTCTGAAGTCTGTAACTGAAGTGTTTTTATGCAGCTTGGAGTCATACATTGCTTAGGAGCAGCCTGTACTCCTGTTTTCTCTGTGTGTGTGTGTTTGCGTGCCTTGATCTCTCGTTCTACGAAAAAGCCTTTTTCCTTTTCCTTTTCATGGCTAGTGAGATTTATGCAGTTGGCAGGCATTTCAAGTTGTAATTGTGAGTAGCTGGATGTTAACCCAAACGCTTTCTTTGCATGCATGCAATAAGCAATAGGGGGGAAAAATGAAAGGGCAAACTAGCTTGCTTAGTTATACAAACAAATTAAGTGACTACTGCTGCCCGTCAAGTCTTTCACTGCAATAGGGACTCACTGCTCTTGTGAGTCGCTGGTGCCAAGACTATTACATGTTGTACCTACCATCAAATCAGCTTTCTATACTAATTAAAGCTCTTGGAGTTCTCTCTTGGCATCTTCTGCAAATTGGCTGTAGCTTTGGACATAGGCATAAATATGTGGTTGTGTCAGTGTAAATTCTCAGTACCATTTATTTTGATTCGTGGAACGTGGAAGAATAGGGCTTAATATTTTCAGCTTCTTTCTACTACTTTAATTAAAATCAATAACTGTCACCATGATAATGGATGGTCTTCCTGGGCAAGAGCTATTGGCCTGTTCAGAGAGAATAGAGTGAAGGGAAAGGAGTTGTAAGATCATGAATTGTCTTACCCACTAGATATGATGTCAAGATCTTTCAAACACTAATTTTTTGCATTTGTTGTTGAGAGAAAAGGTGAGAGGATGAATGGGAGTGGATAGTATTTAAAAGTAAAAAACTGATCTCGAGCTGTTTCTTTTAATTTAGTTTCAGAGATGAATGGGGAGATTCTGTTCTGAGCACCGACCCTGACTTTTACCAATGCTGTATTTCCAACCTGAAGAGATTTTCAGACTAAATGGAAATCACACAGAGAACTCTGTCACTGCTTAGGCTCTGTCTTGACAGTCAGTCTTCATTTTGGGTGCTGGCCACCATATCTCCACTACTCAGTTAAAAATTAAGTTTAAAACAGTGTGTTTGAACTAAAGGTCTCTCTTGGGAATAAATGGAAATAATACGTCAAGGTGTTGTTTATATTGTTTGTTCTACACCTGGCAAATCCAGGGAGTCTTACTGCATGTTGAATTGTTTAAAGTGCAGAAAACATCCATGGTATGATATATGTAAGAAATGAATGTATCAAATGTATTCTATAAATAAAGCAAGCTATTCTATTAGGCTGTGCCTTTCAGAAAAATAATATGCAGTTTGGCATATTATATAAGGGAAACTATTTCCTTTTTCTTCTTTTATATTACTTCTTTTTAGTTTAGGCCAATCTTTTTTCTATTTCATTTTTCCACACAACTCAGCTCATCAGGGTAACTTTTATGGCCACTTTCTTTAAGGCAGCAGAACTTTCATGAGTGAAGTTTACTTGCTTTAGGATTTGGGGATAAGTTATGGGGGAATGGTCTAAAATCATAAAGTAATAAGTAAGTCTTGGAAGGGTACTCATTTGCATTCATGGAAAAAAACAGAACGTTGAAATTCCCAATAAAGCTGCCACAAAGCCACACAGCTCCTACCTTAAACAAGGATGCAGAAGCCAGAGAGCATAATTTTGATACCAATTAAGAAAGTCCAGTTAGCTTTGTCTGAAATACATTTAAATTTTGCATTAGCCACAAAAAAGAAGCTATTGATTAAAAAGTTGTTATCGAGCAGTTCAAGCTGGAGGCTTGATTTCTCTTTCTGGTTTTCCAGGCATTGTCTGTCTCCTCTGTATTCCACACAATTATTTTCTATTCCTGCTAAGCCAGTTGGACCATTTAGGGAGTAAAGCTTCATAATTTAGTGTGTTCGTGCTGCCATGTCTATCTTAATATTTTTACTTTTTTATAGGCAGAGAAGCTTCTGAGGATGGTACTACTTACAGAACAATAAACACAAGGAGGGAAATACTGGTATCATCACATTAAAGTTTGCCTTATATGTTCTTTTAAAACCCCACTTGACCCCTTTGTCTGGTGTATGCTAGGGTTTTTTTGTGCTCAGATTGTCCTCTGTAAAAAAACTGAAATGAAACAGCAAAAATTAATTCCTTTTGATGCTAAGACAGCAACGTTTGAAGTAATGTTACTGATTCTCACTGGGTATGATACAGGTGGATGAGATGGACAACTCAGTCTTACCCCAGAAATAATGAGAATATGTAAAGAAACTTTAGTCAAATATGATAATAAAATACTACATCTGCCCGTGAGTCTATGCCCCAATTTGTAAATAACAATGGTTTTTGTGATCAGGTGTTATAGCAGGCAGCATTTCATTTGTTAGGACATAGGCTAGTGAGCTCTAGAGAAATAGTGAGGTGTCTGGGGTTAATATGCAACATGCTACAGCTACTAAAAGCTGAATCAAAAGTGTTCCTTTTCTACATACTTTTCTGTGGTTTTATACATTTTATCTTCTGCTTGACTGGGTCTTTTGTCACAATATCAAAAAAATCCAGAAAAACCAAAACCAAAAAAAAGCCTCTAATTCTGAAAATGCAGAGAGAAAAAAGGCTCTTGCAAGACAAGACAATGCACTGGGAATATATCTTGGACTGGTATTTAATTAGATTTACTACAATGTCTCTTAGAGTTAACTGTTACCTCAGGAAGGATGTAAGGGAAGTGGCTTCTCACTAGTGATCATCTAAAACACTGGAAATAAGTAGTGAGAAAATGATAGTCTGTGATTCATTCTATTTTTCACTTAAAAATATGCAACTGCACTTTAAAAGTTGTCTGTAATTTTGATTATTTTTTTTTTCTGTTTTAAGTGCTCTGGCACAAAATGGTTTAGCTAAATCATTTATTGCTGGATATATCTGAACATTACAAGTGGAAAAAACATCTTACCATTATGTTTTCTATCTTGATCCTTGATCCTGATCATAGGAACTCCTGTTCCTGTGATTTTAGTTAGGTTCTGTTTACAAGTTAGGAACCTTTTTGACTTTTGTGTTTGGTGTGACTTCGTGACTGAGGTCACGATGCAGATTTAAACTGTGATTTTAGCTTAGAGCTCCAGGCTATGCTTAAGCACTGACTCTCAGGTCACTCATGCAGCAGAATTCATTGTCTTCCTCTAGTCTGAAGTTGTCCAACTGTCCCCTCTTGTCCTGTAAAAACTGAGTACTTGGAGTTTTATAGTTGCTGTCAGCGCAAGAATCTGGGGCCTCTCTACGTAGTTTTTGCAATGCACTTGTGAGGCCAGGGCAATAACAGACGAGGAGAAACTGGGATTAAGGGAATTACTCATGTTTTTACCATTAGGAAATGGAGAAACTGCAGGGTGTCTTGTCATTTCTCTGACTCTATCCAGATTCACCCAACACCAAATTCTGTTGTACATACCTTGTTATTCAAGCACTGCTTTAAGAAGCTACCCTGAAACTGGTAGGGATTGGGGTGGGAGGAGTGATTGGATAGGATTAGCACTGCAGGCCGTGTTAAAGTATTTTTCTGACTAGTATGGTGATTTGCATTTTATCCATCCAACATACTGTTTGTTTATAAATGGCCTGTATTCTTGCTAGCAGAATGTGAAGAACAATGGAGATGATTTCATGTGTCAGGGTGTCTGTGCACACAATAAAATCCCAGGAGAGGGAATAAATTTGGGGAGTATGGGAAGTCTGAAGCAGAGTCTGGTGTATAACTAGGACTTACTTTATGAAAAAAAAAAAACAACCAATCAAAGAAATATCTGAAGACTAAAGAATGAAATATCCTTTTGCTTATATGGAGAGAGGGTGTTGGATTCTTCCTTTTCACTGAGACTGGCTGCTTCCTGACCTGGCCAAATACATGTAGAACATAATTTTTATAATTACTACAAGCAATGTGTTTTGTTTTCCACATATTATTTTTCTGCCTGGATGCCATTTTCTCTCCTGTTAAGGAGATGTTAGGCAAAAACTGAGTTATTGCAGCCACAAAAATGGGATGGCTCATGTTTCTTAGCTGGTCTAAAATGGAGTATGTGGTAATTACTTGACAGATTAAGAAATGGGTGTTTTATTTCTTTGTCTCTCTAATCTCATTATTAGAGAACATTCTCTTATAATGCAATGAATAATGGTATTCAATGGTTTCTATTAGAAATGTAGAAAAAAAAATCTGAAGAATTCAGCAAAGCCCCAGTGTTGTGCCTTTGGGTGTTCTGGATGCTGATATTTTTCGAGGGTTTTCTGCCAAGGCTTCTTTTCAGTTTGTTATTTTGCACAGTTTTTCCCACATAAGTCCTTGAGTCATATAGACCTTTGCTGACTCCATCTATTCTGACCTTTACTATTTAGTGTTCCTGTAAAGAAAGACACAAGGTCTATGGTGATAAGGGATGGAACAAATGTCCATCCCACCTGGAAGTGAAATACTAGATGGTTTTAGGGTTCTTTCGTGAGCTCATAAAAATTATTTTTTATAAGCCTCCCATGAATTGGATTAGAATAATAATATTTATGTAAACTAGCAAGGTCTTTTTTTGTTAACCCTAATACCAGAGCATTGCATGTTTCATAAGAAACAGCAAACAGAACTCAAGACCCTTATGAGGTTCAACAAGTCCAAGTGTGCGTTGCTGCACCTGGACCGGGACAATCCCAGATGTGATTACAGACTGGGAGATGAACTCATTCGAGAGCAGCCCCACAGAGGAGGACTTGGGGGTTCTCATGGGTGAAAAGCTGGACCTAATCTGGCAATGTGCACTTAAAGCCCAGCAGGCCAAACAAATCCTGGGCTGCATCAAAAGCAGTGTGGGCAGCAGGTCGAGAGAGAGTATTATGCCCCTCTGCTCTGCCCTTTTGCAACCCCACTGGAGTGCTGCATCCAGCTCTGGAGTCTCCAGCATGGGAAAGACATGGATCTGTTGGAGCAAGTCCAGAGGACAGCCATGAAGATGATGAGAGGGCTGAAGCATCTCTTTTGTGAAGACAGGCTGAGAGTTGGGGTTGTTCAACCTGGAAAGAGAAGGCCCTATGGAAGATTTTAGAGCAGCACTTAAAGAGCTTTTATAAAAAAGAGTGAGAGCAACTTTTTTAATGGTGGATAGTGATAGGAGAGTGGTTTTAAACCGAGAGATTTAGGTTAGGGATTAGGAAGAAACTCTTTACTGTGAGGGTGGTGAGACACTGGAACAGGTTGCCCCATCCCTGGAAACATTCAAGACCAGGGTGAATGGGGCCCTGAGCAACCTGATCTAGTGGTTGGCATCGCTCCCTGTGACAGGGGGTTTGGAACTAGGTGATCTTTAAGGACCCTTCCAACCCAAGACTTTCTATGATATGACTCTATGATTTCCTAAAGTACTAGTTCTGGCTGAAAAATATTTTGCCTCCAACTAATAACTTTTATGAGTCCTTTTCAAATCCTATAATGCTTTCACAGGATGTTTCTGAGTGTATCTAGTTGCGGAGGTTCAACAAAAACTCTTTGGATAAAGCAATTTCTGAAGCATTGTGACTCCACCTTCTGAATGAATAGCTTTAATGTGTCCTAGCTGTCTTTCCCAGTCATCAGCTGCTTTGTAAATCGTGGCAGTTGATAGCATGTTGGGTTCCCGGAAGACAATTAGACAAACCTTTTTTTTTTTTTTTTTTTTAATCTTTCCTCTCATCTCTCATTCCATCTGAACCTATCTCTTTTTCATGGTAATTTTAATGTAAACCTTTTTTGTTTGGGCTTTTTTTAAGGCTACGTAGTGTCTGCAGCTGAGTGCATTAGCGGTGCCCTGCAATCTGGGGCAGACAAGTTCTATATCAGTAATTTAATAAGTCATACATAAAACAAAACAGCATAGATTTATTTTGTTTTAAAATTGAATAGGGTCAGCTGTGTGAGCAATGTATCTGCCAACTATTGTCATTGTCCTGTCTTGGCAAGCTCATTTATCTTGGTTAGTAAACAACTTAAAAGGTAGAGAAGGTGGATGGCTTAAGGGAATGTTATTAGGACACAA